CGTAACCATCCTAATGACACCTTGTAAAAAAGGGGGAAATACAAAAAAGAAAAAAGCAAAAATCAGTTTTTCACTTGTACAAAAATACAGGACAGATCCACCTTCAGAAAGACATAAAGGTTTCAATGTTGAAAAGAAAACTACCACCACATTCTCGTTTTAAAAGCTCCCAAAAAAACCTGTCCCCAAAATTGCTGTTTTTAAAGCTCCAGAACCCCAATAAAATTGTAGATAAAGAAACCAAACAGTCCGACCCCCTCCCCCTTTATGAATCATCGTAAAGACCTTTGGGTTCTTCCCAAAAAAAATGGATACATGTTTAACTGTTTGATCTTGGAAGAGAGGCATAGTACTTTTGCTACCCTGATCCTAACGACAGCATAACACTAACAAAAAGGGGCCACTATCTTCGACTCGAACCAAACACACTCCACCAATGGACATCAAACAAACCCCACAAAACTCCCCGGAGTGTCAGCTTGAAACTACCCCTACAAAACTATCCCATCTTTTTTGATCCCCAAAAACTCAGCAGACTAAAAAAATGTTCCCCGGACCAGAAAATTTTGAACATCTTTACGGGGGAAAAAGAACCTTGTAAAACATGCAAATTCCCTCGGGCTTGGGCTAGAGAAAAAGCTCTCACCGCGGGTTTGATAACAAAAACAGCACACAACCAACTGCAGTCTCAGCAGACCCCTAGCATCTGATTTATAAATTTAAGAATCCATATACACACGGGCTCCCCAAAATGCCTGTTGCTCAGCAATGTCTTAAGGGTAGATGCTAATTTCCCGCAGCACACTGATTATATACCGTCATTCTCTTCCTTTTATGTTCCCCCCTTCCCGGGACCCCCAAACAAAATTCCCCCTTCCCCCCACATTCTTTCACATTTAAATTCTAATTTGTATTTTCTGTCCCATCGTTCATGTTGGTCGCAGAAAACGCAAGTCACTCATGCCCATACATTAAACAAGCCTTTAGTTTTTTTTTTTACTGAAAAAATATTTTAAAAAAACTAACATTGTTATTTTTGAACACAAAAAAAGGGTTTCCCTTTGGGGTCCCCTTTGCTTTTAAACTGACCTAGTTTAAAAACCACTTCCAGCCAAACTGACCCCTTTTGTTTTTCGGGGAAGGTCAAAAACTGGCGGAGAATTAAACCCCTCCGTCTGATTTCAAACCCTCATACGGGGTCTAAATGGAAAATCCATTTCCTTCCTATGAAATCCCACCAACTGCACTTCTGGGATGTACCGTCCCTTTTTTTCCCTCATTGTAAGTTAAATTGGCATAGACGATGCAAAACCTTGAAAATTGAAAAAACTTGGGCCCTCTGGTCCCAAAAACCCGGCTCAAGATGCTCCTGTCTACACCATCCTATCATTGTAAATACGGCACTAAAGCCAGTTTTTACAATCTTCTGAGTCCATGATGGTGTTTTTTCATCATGTCTGTCCTAAACCTTTGTTTGTATCTGCTAATCTTTCGATTCCATCAGTATCATTTTCACACCCCATGAACATGCTTAAAAAAACAAAACCCGGGTTTATTTTACATTTGGGAAAAGGTAAAAAGATTCAGACGTCGAAATAACCCCTCCATCACCGGGATCACACCTGGGCATGCGGGAGTAAAAGAAATGACCAAGCCAACCACTGGCAATAATGCCCCCTTAAACTTCACTCGCCAGTGTACACATGGTGTGCGGGTCTAGTCTGGCAATACCCAGACTAGAACACCTTCACGCACATACTCGACTCCCTATCCCCTACAGCTCCCATGTGTCCTTCCATTTCAACTTTGTGGAGCCCCTGTCCTTTCTCTTTGTGGAGTCCCTTTTCCCTATCCTTCGTGGCGTTAAAAATAGAATGGGCAAGACCTGGGCAGACCAAAAAGATAATGGGAGATAATGTCCAGAGAGACCTCAAAAACCTGGTGTTGCCAATGGAAAGAAGGGCCAACCCGAGAGATGGTTTGGGGGCGGGGGTTATCTGAGAATAACAGATTTCTGGAAGACATTTTCTGTTTTGCAATTATTGATTTTTCCCTGTTTCACACCTGTGTCTTGACATTCTGTCACAATTATACTTTGAAAGTGGGGGGGGGGGAGAAGGGGGTTATTTTTTTGGCCATCTGTTCTGGGGGGGTTTTTTGGGGTTTTCCCGCCCCAAATAAATAAATTATGTTTCTGAGTGTTTTTTTAACTGAAAATTAAATTGACAGTGTCATGGCTACCAGGTTTTGGTACTAAAAAATGGTGGAGAAACTGAAGGCTGAGAGATGTTTGTAAAGAAGAATTTTAAGAATAATGTGGGGAAAAATCTCTTAGATATTGATATCATAGAAAGATATAAAACCGAACAAAAAGTACATCAGCGAGCTTCACAATATAATAAACACAAACAAAATGTGAACGTTGCGGTTATGAAGCCTTCTTCAGCACATACATAGATTCGACAATACTGCACAAATACACAATATCACTTATCTTCTTATCTCGTGGCAGCCAGAACGATGTCAAGACAATTGTCTGGCGAGGCATGTGGGGCCGGGAAAATTAATATCTGGGGATATGCCAGGGGTCGTCACTCGAGGATAAGAGGAAACTGTGTAGGCAGTTCAGCGCCCTAGGATTAGATGAAGCTGTGTTGGTAGTTTAGTCCACTAGGTGCCAGAGTTCCCAAGGTGTAAAAAAAAAAAGATTTTCAAGAGACTTGCAAACTCTGTCGCAGGAGTAGCTAGATTTAATGGCTGTCCCCTCTCTGTCATGAACACCTTGGTAGTCCTTGAACTGAAATGCAGGGGTACTGGTACTTAGGTATTGAGAGCTGCAGATATTCAAGATCACTTCTTAGATACCATGGGGTCAAGCTGCTAGCACACTTGCATGTTGGTCCAGTGGTCACATGTTTGAATCCCCTTCAAAACAAGAATTTTTATTTTCAAGTACCTGGACTAATAATACTTATGCCACCAAAAGTAAAGTCAAAGACCTTTTCCATGCCATTTGGCATATAATACTTGACCCACATTTTTATAGGCCACTTGACGCTTGATGGATGATGTGATCAACATCACATCAGCCACCTTTACTTCCCTCATATTTCCTGATACCCATTTTAGCCTGGATCAACCTGGGAGCCAAGGTCATTTTTAGTAAATTGTGTCCCAGTGTGGATTCTAATCGAAGACCTTCGGGCCAGCATCTTATGCCACTGTTGTTTATTTATAATTCTAGTTTACAAGTTGTCTGTATGAGTTTGCTTGTAAAGTCTGTATTTATGTCAAAGCCTCGTTGATTGATTCTGTATTTTTTCCTGTTTACTTCTGTAGATGATAGTGGCAGACAACTTATGATGACATCTAAACATCCTGGAAAGATAATGACTCAAACCCAGTTTCTGAAAAAATTGCCGAAAACGATCATCAAAAATGGAAAGGTCATTGACATCCGAGATTCTGTGGGCAGAACCTTGGCAAGTAGTGATGGTAGCACAGCTGACGCATGCAAGCCAAATATAACACTTATCAATACAAGCGTAACCAAGGAGATGTCCGAAAGTGTGGCTTCATCAGGCTCTGCAACAGAAAGGCCAGGGTCATACAAAGGTCATGGAGATGTCACCACCTTGAGGGTGGTAACAGGAAATGGTGATCACACTTACATAGTAAAAATGAAATTTAAAGAAACTGTTGGTGATTTGCGCACTTATTTAGATGCTCACCGAAGACCAGCTGTTCCGTACGATATTGTCTCAACTTTTCCACATAAAATTCATAACAACAATATCTTAACTCTGGAAGAAAGTGGTCTTACACCAAATGCTGTCCTGCATTTGAAGCCACACAAGTAGATGTTTTTCTGTTGAAATGTGGCAAGTTTATGAAATGCACTGGTACTGGTACTTAGATATTGAGAGTTGCAGATGTTCAAGACCGCTACTTAGATACCATGGTGGTCAAGTTGCTAGGACACTTGCATGTTGGCCCAGTGGTCACATGTTTGAATCCCCTTCAAAACAAGAATTTATATTTTCAAGTACCTGGACTAATAATACTTATGCCACCAAAAGTAAAGACCCTTTCCATGCCATTTGGCATATAATACTTGACCCACATTTTTATGGGTCACTTGACGCTTAATGGAGGATGTGATCAACATCACTTCAGCCATCTTTACTTCCCTGCATATTTCCTGATACCCATGTTAGCCTGGATCAACCTGTTTTATAACATCTGTTTTTCTAAACTCTTAAAGAAAATAGAACTTCACTATGTTTGATGCTGTATTGTTCTGTCTGTTTGAGTTTTCATATACAGTTGAAGTTTCATTTTTTAAATTTTATTTCCATAACTGTTTTTCAAGACCACTGTGTTGTGGCAAACATCTTTTCAAAATGTAACCATAGGAAAAAATATGAAACAATTAGTTTATGAATGTTATTAGCCATGGTTACTCTTCATCGTTATCTTGTTATGCCAAATACACATCAAACAAGGCTCACCATCTTTTATTTATCAGTTCCATTCTTAACTTCTTTTCAGTATCATAGATAGAATCCAGTCCAGGACCCTCAACCTCTATTATCAACATTTTTTTGTAGGCAGGGCTTGGGGTTAGGGGGGGGGGGGGGGGGGGGGGGGGGAAGGGGAAAGAAGGTTGTGGTATCACCACACCAAAGGGTCTTTTAAACAAAAAATGTGCTGGCAAACAACAAAGTTTCAGTTCGAGGGGAAAAAAAGGTGTGAAGTAAAGAAGAAAAAAACCTGGTTGTAGAGGTTTCTCTTGTATATCATTTCTCCCCAATTCATTCATTTCCCATGTTATGTCTCCTTTGTGGTTTACTGATTTAAGAAGCGACATCATTGCACACCAGGCATACCCATAGATGCTCCATCTCCCGCAGCAAATGTCTTAGAGGTGCAGATGCTGACTGTTCCCACAGCACACATGTCGTTCTCTTCCACTCATATTTCCCTCCTTGCCGGAGCCACTCGCAATTCCTGGTTAATACATTCTTAGATTCTAATCTTGTGTCTTTCTGCGGTTTAAAACGGTTGCTATCAGTCACGGTCCAAATTTTTTCTTAAACTTTTTTAAAGTCACAATTACTGTCACCCCAATTCTGATTCTTTTTCTAGATATTGTTCTTCTTTTGGCGGACTAGTGCTATGCTTCGTTTGTGTCTAAATGACAGGACTCTCCATGGTTCACTATTCTGCAGTAGTCTTCACACATGTCTGAACCATTTGATCTGTTGTTTGTTGATTTAGTTTAACAATGAGTATGATTCCGCTTATTTCCTAATATATTTGTTTCTAATCCTGCCTCTTTTTTTACATTTGGAATTCATCATAGACATTTCATTTCTGTTTTAATTTTTCTAATGACCTTTTGCTGTTAATGGCACATTTTACATGGTAGCAGTGTTGGTAAAAATACTGTTTTCTTCTTCTTCTTGTTCTCATCTTTTTTCTTCTAATGGAGCAAATAAATTTCATTAGCCATTAGTAAAATTCTTCCTCATTGACTGACTTTTGCTAATAAATGTTTCTTTATGGTGGGTTAATCAGTGTCGTGCTAACCCTCCTTAGGAGCCTCTTATAGCTTGCTTGATAGGTTATAGTGTTAGTGTTTTTTTGGGGGGATTTTGTTGGGTGTGTGTTTCTGTTATGGGAGGGACCCTGATAACACATAGATGAGCTTCTCATTACTAACTAGCCTGTCCTGGAAGTAGTGAATTGGTGGTGAATTGATGTATGATAAGTTAGATATTGTGAGGGTCCTTTGGGAGCGAGTGAACAGTGCAAAGGCGCAGATAGATCATTACGGTCTGAGGAGAATGGTGCTGCGAGGAGTTAACAGGGGATCTGGCCGATGCTCAACACACAGGGGAAGGATAAGATGGATATACAGACAGTTACTGGTACAGTTGGAAGTGGAACTCTTCGCTTGCTGCTGAAGATGGGGACTGAGCACTTATGGGAGTGTCCCGAGTGCTGTGATGTCAGTTCTTAATTCAACATTCCTGGAAGTAGAAAAGATAAATTTCATAAATATTATGCTGTAAATCAGGTTTTCTTTTCTGAAAAGTTTTTGTCTCTTTTACCATAGGTATCGTGTGCTTGTTTGTGAAGACAGTGATCTGTGTGTGTTTAAGCCTGCATGCGCGTGAGAAAGAAAGAAAGAGAGATACCTCAGTAAATGAAGATAATTCATTCTAGAATCCAATTCATCAGCTGAATCTTGATTGGTCTGAAAATTCAGCTTGCAAAGGTCCACATTACATCAGCTTGTGCATCTACGAAAACATTTTCTGTACAAACCCAGATTTGTTAGCCGAGGCAGAAAAACGGTAAAAAAATTTGTTGGCCATTAAATTAACTAGCTTGGTTAGTGTTTTTTGGCTGTTGTTTTTCTAGGTACTTTTTACGTTGAGTAGTTTTTCCACTGCTCTTTCAACGGTCAGCTCTTGGTACCCCTGTCGAAACTAGTGTAAGACAAACTGTCTGCAGCTGGGATCAAACCCAGCACTTGAGTGCCTAAGCCACTGACGCCGACACACACACACACCCACACACACACACCCACACTCATATATATGACTGTATTACAAAAGCATGAAAGAAACATCAACAGGCATGGCAGAATTAATTAAAGCATCATTATGTATGAATTATGCACCATGGGTTGTTCAGAAAAAGTTATCCCAGGCATTCAGACTAGCATACATTCCATTGCTTAAATAGGTAGCGCACACGCACACATTCACACACACACACACACACACACACACACACACAACAAAATAAACAAACAAAGATTGTAGTTGCTCACTGAACTAAGTGTTTCTCTGTTTTCCTTTTGGTTAGGGGCAGGGGGCGGGGCACTGCGCGAGGAGTTTACTATGTGGTAAAGGGGGAGTACACACAGGCCTACACACACAGACTGTCAGGGGTCGTGAGTCCCCTGCAGCACCATCTGTTGATGTCAGACAGACTTTTTGTCTTTTGTCTTTTTTGTTTCCCAGTCGATTTTCATTGTTGTCTTCTTTTTTTTTCTGAAATTGATGACTACTAAAAAAAAAAAAACGATTTAAAGATTGCTTTATCCAGTGCCATCTGTGGATAGTAAGCTGAGCTCTGAATCAATGTTAACCTTTTTGAGTTTTGTCTATCTTGTGGTCTTTTGTCTTTCCTTTGTTCTTTTCTTTTTTTTTCTTTCCCAATCGATGTCTGCTTAAAGAGAGAGAGAGGAGAGAGAGAGAGAGAGAGAGAGAGAGAGAGAGAGAGAGAGAGAGAGAGAATATTATAGGCGTCTTTTTGGGGGTAGGAAGCTTCTAACAACTCACTGCAACAATATTCAAAATAAATTCCTGAGAGGTTGTCAGTGTCACATGTCAATCAACAAAACTGTCTGGTAAATTCCCTGGAGTCGACAAGGATCTCTCTGCATAGGCACATGAATCTAGAAGCTAGTACCCATTGCTCCCCTCCCGGTTCTTTTATTAATTTCACCCTTTTTCAGCGACTCTGAGATTTCGTAGGCAATGCTCGGAAAAGTCCAATATTTTAGGGGGGTTAGTGTTGATGTTGGTATGTGTTCATTTCGCACTTTAATACCCGAATAGTGTTAGACTTTCCTGCGTTTTCAAACGAAACCTCTGAGTACCCTAGATTGGGTGTAATAAAAGAGAAGAACCCCCTTTTCACTCCTACCCTTCCATTAAACAATTGTGTGTGTTCTTCTGTATTTCTGCTTGATTCAATACATCGTTTTTTTCATTCAGTAAATATAAGTTTCTAGTCCCAAGGGTTCCTAATCTGTTAAGTCCTTTATATAAACTTACTGTACGTTTACAACAAATTCCGCTTTTTAACATATTTGCTATGACATCGCATATTCGACGCGAAAGCTCTTACATCTCAAGATGTCCCATCAGCCAAGTGTATGGTCTCCAAGTGAAGGACCCTGTAAGATTCACATAAATCCTTCCCTCACTTTCTGTACTAGCACGTAAGCTCCCATCGCGAATGCTCACAAGTGTTCCTTTCTACAACCGCACACTGTGAAATTCTGATGTAGCGGCAAAGTACCAACTCGGAGAGATTAGCGGCTTGTGGAGAGCCAACCCGTACACTATTATACCGTGTGAGCTTCTCAACGCCATTTTTTGAGGTTCGGATGAAGATGGTTTGTTGGGTAGGTTTTTTTTGGGGGGGGGGGGGGGAACCTTGCGAAACAGATCCAATGTCACTCGACGATCATGAGGGAAATACAAGGTAAAGGAAAGAGAATGACATGATAAGACCGCCGAACATACATATTGATTGACGTTGATGAACTGCCCGTTTGTTTCACGAGTACAATTCTTATAGGGATTTATAAAGCTACGAGGCTCGTGCTTTGTAATAACCTGCTGCATTGTAATTAGACGAGAGGCAATTAAAGACTAAGAAAGGTCAAACCAGGAAAGTTCCTGTCAAAACTGAGTAAACAAACTCACATCCCTGACCAATAGGTCAGTTCAACTAAACAACATTTCATTGCAGTGGACAGCTCTCTACAACTCAAGTAACAGTTCACTGTTAGTGAGCAACATATCAGTGAGCAAATGACCAACAGCTCATTTGGACCAAGGCAGAGTTCAGTGTGACTGAGCAACAGTTCACTACATTTGATCAACAGCTCACAGCAATTGAAAAACAGCTCACTACAACTCAACAACTACCCACTGCAACTGAACAACAGTTCAGTGCAATTTACCAAACGCTCACTGCAGCTGCCAAACAGTTTTTAGTAGCTGAAAAAAGCTCACTGCATCTGACCAGCAGCTCACTGCAACTGACCAGC